TCAATTCATGTAGCTAAGAAATCCTCCTTTTCGACTTTATCCTTGAATTTTGCGAATGTTGGGGAAAACACGGCTCCACACATTAGGCCCGTTGTGCTCGTGTGGTCCTAACTGGACCAATGCGCGAGATTTATCGAACTGAAAAAGCGATATCAAAAGTGACGTCGAGTGAAACCTCTTTGTTTCCAGAAAAAATGGGACCGTTATGATCAGCATCACTTGAAAACACAACTACCTAGTTCATAATCACTTCATACGCGACACAGTGCGTCATTTCATCTCTGAAAGGCTTGACTTTCAACGATTGCCCTCTGGTTACAGTTATATCGAGACTCGCTCGCTAAGGAGTGTCCTCAGGTACTTCGATGGAAAGCGAAGTACAAAACTTTTTCAGTTTTTTAGGACATCATCTCATAGAACTCGACGAGCTGAGTTTAACCAGCGTAAGTTTCTTTGTAGGCAAAGTTTACAGAAACGGTTATAGCAAAAAGAAACGGAAAAACGTGGATTGGCGTTTTCTTCGCTTTTTTCGAACAATTAGGGCGAATATCGTAGTTGTTTACCTTTGCCTCCTAAATGGCTTAAGTTACCCTGTTTTCCTCGAAAGCTAGACTGTAAAGAAGCAATGAACTCGAAGTGATCTTTTTAAACCTAAATTTTCACCTGAACTTTCACATGAAACCCTATCATTGGTGATACCAAAATGATCACGGAATCATGCTGTTTCCAAATATGTCGGTAATTCTGACTTTGAAACACTTTGATCCAAGATCATGGTCCAAGTGGAGGGTTTACGACATGGCCATATCCGCAGGTAACACCTTAGGTGACTGGAGACTCAATCGTGGTTTTCCCTTAGAATCAGTTAGAAATATTAGGAAAATTCAGAAGATTTGTACACAGTTAGATTCGCAATGAGCACGGCTATCGACTGGTCTAATTTTCAGATCATTTCAACCACTTCTACGGAAGTTATGGCAATGCGACGGTTTGCGACGGATTAATCCGTCGCAAACCGTCGATTTTGCAAAAATTAGGGGCGGTATTGTACTGTTCTAATTATCTCGCCATTTGCCTTTACATCCTTAGAAATGCTTTATGAAGAGAATTTAGGAGGCTAGGATTCGAGATGTACTCCCGTGCAGAGTGGCTGGCGTTGTTCCAAATTATTAGAGATTTTCTGGTGCAGAAAAGTTGGCTGTAGTTTTAGTGAGTGAAAAAAATTTCAGCGAGCAGCGTTCTCTAAATAGTTGGCTGCCATCCAGGTTTGAACTGCTGAACAGCTCTTGTTCACCGTTGTCGAGGTTGGCGTTTTACTAAGTGGCCTTTGTTACTTTTTTGAAAGTACTCTAAATAGTGCAAGCATGAAATCCGTTTGAACCCTGTAGAACTTCCAGACTCAATTCTTTATATGGAGTGCCAGCTCCGCCAGAAGCAGCAAGATGAACTTATTGCTCTCATCGAGTGTATTGGAGAGGAGTTTGTTTCTGTCAAGGAGGACGAACAGAACTTACGAGGCGTCATTTCGGTAGCGCTGAATCCATCTTCTAAGATCGTTTTGATCTCTGCCACGGA